TTTTTTTTTTTTTTTTTTTTTGGGTGTGCTGTGTTTTAATTGTATAGTCAAAGTTTATTTTTCTTCTGTATGTCAAAGTTTACAGACTTGTCATTTTCCTTGTAGGATGTGGATAGTTTGATGAATGGTGTAGAAAATTCATTTGGTACATATGCCTCCAGTGCACTGTGGTGCTCATTGGTTGAAGGGGTCAAATGGCTTAAGCATGCTACAAAGGTTATTTCTGTATCATGCAATTTTGGAAGATGCAAGTTAAGTGAAGCTGAAGAAGTTCTTTCTAATTCTCAGGTGCTATTCTTCGCTCTTTTTGTTGTCTTTTCATATTTATATTCTTATATATTCAGTTGAACTCAATACATGGATACTTTGGTACTTGTCCAAGTCTTACTAAACTGTATCATCTTCTGTTGCAGAGTCTTAGTGTTTCCTTCCCTTTGATGTTTGGTCAAGTTGAAAGTGCCATTCAGAAACACAAGTGAGGCTGCAGTTTGTTTGATATAATTGTTTGACGAATTCATTGTTTGCTTATTTTCGAAACTTGTTTCATATATATTTGGTAACATTTTATTGGTTCTACTAAAGACTGATAGAAATAGCTAGTTCAGTTTTGCTTTTAGTGGTTCAATATGTATTTGATTTGTTGATCTTATGTCTTAAGCAATGTTGTGATGTTTAATTATCAAGTTGAGGGAAAGAGAACATTTGGAATTAATGGGTTCTCAAAACTTATATTCTAGAACTTCAGAGTTCTGCTTGAGTCAGTGGCGTGTTGTCTGGTCATATAATATTATGATCTCTTTAGGTGAAGTGCTTGTTTTTACTTTTAGTCCATTTGATCAGTATGGGGGAAACATAAACCATTGAACTCAGCAATAAGCATGTAACAGTCTAGGGGTTGAAAAAAACTTAACTTTTGGTTATAAGTTTCTCAATGTGGGGGTTAAAAATACATAATTTTTTTTAATTTTAAAGACCTTTCTCTTTCATCACCATGAAGATTTATTGCAAGTCATTTAACTGTATTGTAGGTATTGGCTTGAGCAAGTGCATCAACTTTTCAGATTAAGGCCGGGGGAACGATCTTGGTCACTAATGTTACAGCTAAGGGTATGATGTCAATTCGTTTGCTTGTACATGCTTTAGTGCTTCAGAAGTCACTAAGTTTGACTTTGTTCTCTTTATGATTAGCCCTTCTACCCATGCACTGCATATGCAGAGATGACGCTTAGTTTAGGTTATTTTGAATTAGTTGGTGGGTGATTATTATATAGGGTGTTTACCTTTAGATTAGGTTCTTACTAGTTACTGGGTAGGTAGTTGCATCTTGCAGTTCTGCATTTATGCTTTTTTTAAATGCAACAACTGTGAATAACTGTCGTGATTTGTATGTACAATGTTCTCAGCATATTTGATGATTGATTATAAATGATGACTGCTGTGATTGTTGAAGTCTACAACACTTTGGCTTGGCAAACCTTGAAGAGCTTTTGGCTGCTTTTTCTTCTTGTATTATTGATTGATAATTGCTCTCAATTATGTAATTGGCATAACTTCCTGGCCAACATGCCTAATATGATTCAATCACATTCAGGAACTTGGAGTTTCTGTTGCTTTCAGTTGCACAGAACTAGATTTGATCATATGTGAAGTTGGAAGGGTTGAGAGTTGGAAACGACAGTGCATGGATATTGTCAAGAGTCTAATTGAAGATGAGGATTCATTGCTTGGTGCTCTAGAAAAGGTTTCAAATTAAAACTCTTTGAAATATGTTACATCTGATTGCAATGTTTTCCTTCTAGCACCATCTCTGATACTTTGAAATCTTTTCTATTAATTCACAGATAAGTCAGACTCTAGATAGATCTATGCACGTATATGATAAGCCGCATGGCTTGAAAGAGAGTGGTTATTATGCGTGCTGCTCCAGTGGTTCTCTGGATCAGGAATTTCTTACTTGTTCTTCGTGCAAGGACTGGTAAGGTATTTATTGCTATTTCAAAGTTTTGCAGGTCCTTCACCTTTGAATGTTGTTATTAGTACTTTATTGTTTTCACAGTGGGTTGATATCTCAATCTCAATTTTGCGCATCAATCTTTATTAGTAATTTATTATTAGTACTTTGTTGTTTTCCTGTGAAGAATTTCAAGCAAGAAACACCATTCCTGTAGATTCTTTCCCCTCTCTGTTATAAGTTTTAACTCGAAATATTTTATATGAACAGCTACCATGGGCGGTGTCTAGGAACTTCCATAGTAGATGCAAAACATGCAAAGTATGTATGCCCTTGTTGCCGATATCTGGAATGTGGAACAACTTCTCAAAATGGAGGCAGTCTGGTATGTATAAGTTGTTTTGTGTTTTTTTGTAAGGAAGCTTGTATCGTAATATCTTTAATAAGATTCTTTTTACATGGTATAGAAATTTGGAGGGATGCGTCCAGAACTACAAAAAATTATTGAACATCTATCCGGTGAAGAAGATTTCTGTGTTTGGTAATTAAGTGTGCTATACTTGCTCTTCTTGAAGTAACTCTTGTTTAGTAATGCATTGATCTTCAAGTTTTGCGATTTATTATGATTTATATTTACAGTATTGAAGAAAGAGAGGTACTGAAAGAAGTCATGAAGAAAGCTCTGGCATGCAAATCCCGCTTGAAAGAAATAGTGGATTTTGCATTAGCTTATTCTGATAAAGATCTGAGTGTCATCTTTGGAAAACTAAGCACAGCTTTAAAGGTATCTTAAGGAGCATTTTGTTGTAGTATTGAATTCTTTTCTTAGTATGATGGACCCTCACCTCCTCCACGGTTTTTGCAATATTTTATAATACAAGTATAGATATATATCTTTTAAAGGATTCGAAAGTAGCCAGTCTTAGTATAGTCTCATGATGGGAATAACCACGATGTAGGCAGAAGTTGGCATGTCTTCATCATTGAAATTGTTTTTGTTATACAGGCCAGAGAAATGGAAGGTGTACATGATCATGAAGGTGATTGCAACCTTATGTTGGTGTTATCAAGATACTCATGGAAAGTCAAAGTCAATAAGTCACTGGAGGGTTCACAAAAGCCCACAATCCAACAGATTCAGCAGCATTTAAAAGAGGTATGTGCTGCTGGTATTAGTTGAATTTAAAGTGCATTCTATGGTCTCAAGATGGATTTTTTGTACAACAATTTGTCAGTCCATTCTGATAAATTCTTTAATCTAAATGGTGGTATCGTAAAAACATGTTCCAACTATTGGTTATTAGATCGAACGTTTCAGTACTTGTGTACAAATACTGAATACCAAGAAATGGCTACAGAGTTTCATTTGCTTTTATAAACTAAAGAAGAAAAAGAAAAAGCTCATAAATGTTCTGGTGCGAGTTCACTCTTGATTTTCCTGCAAGAGCAACCTTTATCAAGGAAAGGCACTTTAGTGGGAAAGAATAACCTCTATTTTATGCTTTAGTTTGTGTTAATGCATTATGCATCTCTTGATTTAGTGTGCTCAAGATGTTGCATATGGTTTGCTTTATGTAGGGAGCTGCCTTGAATATTCCACCTGGAGATTACTATAGGCAGAAACTTACAGAAGTGAAGTGTATTGGCTTGCAGTGGGCAGATAATGCTAAGAAGGTTCAGAGCATTGATAATATGATCTCTCTCTCACTCTCTCTCTATGCCCTTTCTATTACTTGACATCATTTTTCTGTGCACAGGTAGCTGCAGATTCTGGGGCTCTGCCACTGGGTAAAGTTTTTGAACTTGTTTTGGAGGGTGCAAACTTGCCTGTTCGTATGGAGAAGGAACTTAAGGTAACACAATAGGTCTTTATCTTAGTTGGGTGCCTTGGCCTTTTGTTAACCTTTTGTGCTTTGGTCTCTAACCCCCCAGAAAAACAATTGTGCTTACTTGTGCAGTTATTGAAAACTCGAAGTATGCTTTATTGCATATGTCGAAAGCCGTATGATCAGCGGGCAATGATTGCATGTGACCAATGTGATGAGTGGTATCACTTTGATTGCCTTAAATTACGTTCCGCACCAAAGGTTTACATTTGCCCTGCATGCGAGCCTCGAGCACAAGAGACTGAAGTGTTCTCTACAGCATCGGGGGTGGATCATGAGAGGTCAGTTTGGTCTCTATAAAATATATTTCATCCTATTTCGATTACTGCTGTGCCTTTTCAGTAACTTGGTTTCCCAAAATGCTTTGGCAGATGTACTGATGCCAAATTTGTAGAGCCTAAAACGCCTTCACCTACGCACACAAAGTGCAGGACGAACCTAAAGAAAGTAGAGTCTGATCTAAACCAAAAGATGCGTGCAATTACAGATCCCAACAATCTTTTTAGGTGTTCTAGTGGGATAGAGCGTTTATGGTGGCGAAATCGGAAACCTTTCAGAAGGGCGGCCAAAAGACGTGCCGAGCTTGAAAGTCTTTCTCTATTTTCTCATTTGCAACAATAACAACGGGAAAAATTGATTGTAAGCAATCATTTAATTTATTCAATTGATTCTTATTGCTTCAGCTCAAGTAGATAGCCCTAATTTTTAATTTTTAATTTTGGACAGATGATAGCCCTAATTTATTAAGCTATAATGATTGGTAAAATTTTCTTTTGCCATCCTTTTGCAGCGTTTGGAATACTGATAATTTGACTGCAATAATGAGCTTTTGATCAGCCATGGAGTCGTCTTATAACTTGTTTTACTTCTGAAATATAAAATGCAACTTTGAGTTGCATCCAGCTGAAGATGAATAATCCATCTTCTACAATATAAATTTGAAGTGCCCAAGCGCCCCAAGGCTCAAGGCCCATCTTTTTTATAATTAAATATTATATATTATCTATATAATATTTAATGCCCAAATCGAATTTGAAACCCAATTGGCTTCTATTTATCCCCGTATGAAAGGTGATGTCTAATAAAAAGGTGGTGGACTCCATCAGGCACATAAAGAACGCTCAAGAAGCAGCAAAACACCTTTCTCTCAAAAAATAAAAATAAAAACAGCAGCAAAACACCTTACTCAAATGACACTCAAGATGATATTTCCTCTCTAGTTGTAAAATTTAGGTGATTATTGTATGATTCTTTATGCTTGTCACTTGTAAACAATATTAATAAAGAAAAGAACTGTCCTTGCAAGATATAATGTGTGTTCTCTGCACTTGCAAGAATGAGAGGAAATATATACTACTGCAATACCAGATTGTTTTCAATGAAAACCTGTGAGTTTATATTACTTTCTTGAACTACATTAATGATATTGTTTCGTAAGCAGAAAAGCAAACAACTAAACTTGATTGTAAATAATTTTCCCAAAAAGAAAGGCAACTTGATTTTTCAATTACCTCTCCTATTAGTACTATATTTTTATCAAAATCAAAACATACACTCGGTGTCCCTATTATGAAATTTGCCAAATCATGCATTATTTAGTCAATTTATTGAAAACATTGTTTTCGTCTATTTTTTCGATCAAGGATTGATGAACTATCGATCAATAAGATTATGTTCGTCTATCGTTTTTAGGATAGGATTCTAGTAGCGCATATAAATTTGATTGTAAATTCATAAGGGATAATTACATGATATTTTTTAGAGTGTCGATAAAAATTTGCTGCGTTTTTTTGAAAAAAAAAGTTGATGGGTTGGGCTAGGATACAGATTACAAGTCCAGCCTCACGGCCCAATCTCTCTTTCCGTTCCGGTCCGACCCATACCCATTTTTTCTGAGTCTGTGAGTTACTGTCACAGAGAGCGGAGGCTGCCACTTAATCAGTCGACCAACCAACTGTTCGACGAAATGCTTCAATGAAATATCATATTTTGACGAAGCCGCATACGATTAGATGAGGTACGTAAAGCCTTTGAGCTTGTTCCAAGACTTGGTTAGGGGCAATGCTCTCGAACGTGGGCGTTTGCTTGGTTTGGACGTCGGCGACAAGTACGTCGGCGTAGCTGTTTCAGACATTCATAACAAGATTGCTTCACCTTTAAGGTATTCAATTGAATTCTTCTTTTACATGCTCAGTCTTCAAATTATGATTCGGAACTAAAGTTGAGTGTGTTAATATTCGATGCTCCGCAGCGTTCTGCTTCGGAAGAAATCAACACTTGATATGATGGCCGATGATTTTCAGAGTTTGGTGAGTTTGTTGTTCATTTCCTAAAGTTTTGTTTTGTTTTTAATATTTATTTTAGCAATGTTCTTTGAAAGTGCCTAAAACAATTATTGGGTTAAGCTTAAAAAAAAAACAACTATTGGGTTCTTTTTTCTTCTTCTGGGGATTCAATATTAATTCACGGATTGAAATTGAATATTGGTTGTGAGGGTTTGACAATTGAAGTAACACAGTGGCAACTGCTTCTCATAATCACGACCATTTGTTTATTTGACTTTGCATCTGGCAATGTGGTCTTGGTTATGATAAGGCTCATACTGGGTGTTAAAAGGCTTTTGATTTTGTCAAAGACACCTATATATTTCAGCCATGGCATTATCCCCCATACTTCCTCATTCCTAAGGCCAATTGGCCGAATGCCTTCCATTCCTTTCCTCTGTCTGGGTCTTGCCATATATGACTGAAGACATCATCATATTATAATGCATTTTCAAAATTATTGAAGTTATTTTCAGAGCGAAGTCTAGGAATTTTCCTCTGCATCTTTGCAGCATAAAAAATGTCGATATGTATTTCGTCTTTTTTCATGATTGGTTCTTAGAGTTGTGATTCTCCCGGCCCTACCCAAGTGTTCAATTATCCTTAGATTACAAGCGGCATAGCACCGAGCCTGTATACATTTCAAATCATACATGATAGTACCTCAATGATGTAAACTGTTTTCTACACTTTGATCCTTCATTTCCGAGTCAGAGTCATAATTGCTTTGTTTTTATGTGCAGATCTCTGAACTTTCTCTGGAGGGCTTCATTGTTGGATACCCTTTCGACAGACAGAGACGCAGTCCTGATGTGTGTATCTTAACCTGAGTTGTCTATATGGACTCTCATCCTCTTTCTGATAATGATTTGCTCTTCTTTGTTTAGGCTGTCCAAGTGAAGCTTTTCATTGATGACCTCTCTGCGACAAGAAAACTTGAAGGCTTAAAATATACGTATTGGGATGAGGGCTTTACATCAAAGGTTAGTGCAGATAGGCTTGGAAAATTATCGAGTCTGGTAATATGATGATTCTGACATATGTGTAGCAGAAGATGTAATCACATGCTGATGTTATTAGTTCATCAGTATGGACCTTCGACTAACTCGGATGTGTCTGAGGTTTATTTGGTATCCAAGTTTTGTAATTTTTCTGTTTCAAATGTTAAAGTTCTTGCTTTTACTTTGAGTCCCAGGAGAGAGCCAGTTTACACTCGAGTTAGAATACATCGAATAGAACTGGCAAAGCTAGTGTGTAGGCTATATTATTACGACTTGCACATATGTTTCCATTATTTTGTCAGTGATCTTGAATCTTAAATTTTATTTTACTGCACACAGAATGTGGAATTACTCTTAAGGCCATTGAATTTGCATCCAGTTACGTCCAAGACAATTATTGACAAGTTTGCTGCTGTTGGTATACTCCAGGTAATGGTGTATATTTTTTGTGTTACATAGCATTCAATAATACGCTCTAGGTCATGCTAGATAAAAATGATGTGTTTTTGGTTGTTTCAGTAGACAATACTGAAGAACATTTAAGAAATTATTAACTATTCTCAATCAGTTTTCTACGTCTGGGACGCTGGCATTAATTTATGTTTTCTCATTTGTCAGGGGTACCTGGATTATGTTAATAGGAAGCAGAAGTCTGTAACCGCTGAGGACTTTTAGTAAACTTTCTTAGTTGTTCATGACACAGTGATGACTGCACTAAAAAAAATTGAATTTGTGAGGTCCTAAAATCATCAGTCTTACAGGAAAGCAAACTCAGGTCTTAACTGAACTATTGAAGCTGTGATCAAACTTCTTGTGAATGAATTATTTGGTGAAGGTAATGGCGGTCTTGGGCGATGACACCAGTTTTGTCCTTCCGGACTTTGTATTGTACAACACTTTCTGTTAATTAATACAAAGGAACCTGAATTGTGTACATTGGTGTACCCGATCTTGTATTTTACATTTTAGGTTCTTCTCATACCTGACAATTTAAAATCTCTATGACTTTGTAGGAGACCAGCATTTGATGTGTGGATCGTTTCTTTGTGAAATGAACATGAATTTAGAGGTTGAGTTGGACCAAATCGAATCGTGATCATCCCTAATAGAAGCAAAAGAAGTAGAAGAGAAAGAAAGTGTGGAAACTTTATAAATTAAATTAAATTGCAATCCCATGAATTGAAATCACATTTTTGGTAATAAGATAATTGGAAATAGAATATGAACAATTCAACATGTTGGTAAGTGTAATCAAAAGGTGGGCCAGGTTTTTGTTCCTATTCCTAGTCCTAGTTTGAAAACATTTTCTCTTTTTCTTTTCTTTTTGATTGTAGGCCAATAATTCAACAATCAACTCTTTATTGACCACGCTAATCACTCATTTGATTTGTTTTCAACTACGTGACTCAATAATGCCCATTTGTCTCAAAGTCGTTATTAAGCACAAAAAAGACTGAGAGCAGGCACCTCATTTCACCCACCAAGGCAGTCATATTAGAAGAAAACGACATCGTTTCCTAACTTTGAATACACGCACCACCACCACATGCCCTTTTCCCCTATCTCCAGCCATTGTTTTTATCGTAACTTCAAATCCCATCTTTTTCCAAAATTCAGACAAAAGAAACTTCATTTAATATAGTGATAAACAGTAAAATTGTTTCAACATTCTTGTTGTTTCTTCAAAATGATATTAATAATAATCTTTTCAGATTAGTTTGTCCATTTTAGACTGGCCCATGACCAAATTCCAACTCTCTCTCACCAAAAAGAAAACAGAAGAAGAACAAAAGTTAAAATAAAATAGCTTTTGGGTCCTAGCTCTGTTTACATCGGATTAGCAATCTGTAACCCGAACCAGCAGAGGCACCAGGCCTAAGGGGTCATTAAAGAGAGAAAGAGAAAGAGGACAGGGAAAGAGTGAATGAGAGAGAGATGTGGGGGCATCGGCTCTGGAGGAGAAAGACTTTTATGAAACGGGATAACACTAACACTATGACACGCATTGTAACATTTCCACGCGGTATAACATTATTGGTCGAGTAGTATTATTCCGTTGCAATTAAGTTTTTCTCGGAGGACTCTGTGCCCTAAGAAAGGGCAATCTGATAAGGACATCTAGGTTGGTACTTTGGTAGGCCCCACATTGTCGTCCAATACCATTAGTCTTTCCTTTCATATAGTCAGAGATACTTACACCCCACCACACCCCACCCCTTCACTCACTCACTACATTTTAGAATAAAGAAAAAAGGGAAAAAGGTCTTTGAGTAGTTCACAGTTCACAGTTCACAGTTCACACACACACACACACAAGACACTTATACACTCACACCTTTAATTCAAAAGCTCAAATTTTCAATTCATTTTCCTCCCCAACCCCCCTTCCCTTTCTTTGTCTTTTCCTCCCTCTTTTTTCCCTTCCACCTCCTGCATTTTCCTGTCAAAACCCTAGATTTGAAATCTAGGGTTTTGTTCACACTATTGTGTTTGAGGCAGTGCTTCAAGAGCTGCCAGGTCGTTTTCTTGCTTTTCTGTGGCTAACTGAGCTCCCGATTTTTCTACATTTTGGTTTTTCCTAGGTATTCTCTGTTATGGGTTTGTGAGGGTGGTTCTGTTCAAGCTTTGGCATCACTCACTTTCTTGTTTTTCCGGTTGAAGATCAAAACTTTGCTGGGTTTTTAGATTTTTTCAGAAACTTCAAGTAAAACCCTTGTTTTACAAGCTCACTGCGTTCCTGTATTTTGAAGATTTAGGGCTGAAGGGGATTTCTTCCCCTCTTCTTTTGGTTTTGAAAAAAAATGCTATGAAAATTTTCCCATTTGAATAAAAAGCTCCGTGAAGCCTTTGTTTTGCAATCTCCATTTTCCGTTAAATCTCCTAGTGGTGGGGTGGGTTTTTTTACAATCCTTAGCATAATCGATCAACGGGTTTCAAGACACAATCTTTAGGTGACAAAAACTTAAGCTTTCTAGTGACAAGTCTCTCAGTAAATGCATGGATGGGAGAGAAGCCATGGGATTGTCTGGTGGGTCAGCTCAATACTACATCCATAGGGGAGGGGTTGGTGGGTCTATGCCTGGATCACAGGCTGGTGGTGGACTGCATACTCCACCTGGGTTCAGGCACATGTCAAACACTGTCCTTCAACCTCAGTCTAATGTGAGGGTCAGCTCTGTAGGATCAACATTCTCAGTAGAGCCTTCAAGACCCAATTTTCCTCATCATGGCATTAGCATGAATGTCACTCCTGGAGTGCCTTCAGGTGAGCCTGTAAAGAAGAAAAGAGGGAGGCCCAGGAAGTATGGTCCTGATGGGCCGGTTTCTCTGGGATTGTCTCCCATGTCTGCAACACCTAATCCTAGACCAGGTTCAACCAGCCCCACTCCAAAACGTAGTAGAGGGCGGCCACCTGGGAGTGGTAGGAAACAACAGTTAGCTACTCTTGGTAAATCTCTGCAACTTATACAACCTTTTTTTTTTTTATGCCTTGACTTTTATTTTATGATTCTAATTTTATTACTTTTCTAAATTTAGTTGGCTAGCATATAGCGGCTCATTATTGTTAGCCTTTAGTAGTGTTTCTCTTGATTTCTATAAATGGTGTTCAATTCATGCCAATTCTGCTAATGTTCCTAAGCTTCCTTCCTTTGTTAATTATGAGTAATGTCCTTTAGGTGCCCACTAACTAATACCACAACTTAACTAGCATAAGCATCTACAAAATATGCACAGGAGTTGTGAAAATGAGGTGCATGCAGAAGCAAAAGTTATGGCTTCTAGTGTCTGATTTGTTTTATACATGTGACTTACTATTATGATAGTTATTGCTCAGATGTTTGTATTTTTCCAGTTGAGGTTTTCTCATCTGAATCAGCTGAAGCATGTCATCTGTAATTAAGTAATTATCACCATCTGTTTTTGCATGTACTTTGAGATCTATGAATTTTTACTATTTCTTGGAAATGTTAAACTGTTATTATAGGGGACTGGATGAATACTTCAGCTGGACTGGCTTTTGCACCCCATGTTATCACCATTGGAGCTGGAGAGGTATGCTATCTAAGTTCAAATTACTGAGATACCTAAAATATGATGCAGAAGAATTTTTTCCTCTGCGATCAGTTGCTCCAATTTATTGGTTTGGCAATGCCTTCTGTTAACACATCGAGGTTGTCAGTGTTTATTGTTTGCTTAATTATGGCTTTAAAGCTGCATTAGATCTGCATAAGTACTGAAATTTTATTTCTCATGCATAAGGAAAGGAAAGCAGATTGATACCAAAATGGGAAAAAAATCAGGCTTTACCAGGCCTATTATGCTTGCTTCAGATGACTAACTAGAAGCTTGATCCAAATAATTTTTACATCAATTGTACTGGAGTTTTCTGGATCATGAACACATGGTAATAAGAATGCTGCTATTAAAGTTTTGCATAATGCTTTACCCATTTCTACTGTAAAGCTTCATAGATGTCATTAGAGTTTTTCAACATGTTGAGTTTGTAAATATGGGGATTGTTGCAAGCACATATCAATGGACTGACCATATCACTAGGATTCCACAAACTACACATACATGCATTTGCAAAGGGGCACGTGCATATCATCCTACTCTAAAAGCATGATCACACATGTCCGTAGAGTCTGGGTCTAGGTGGAAGCCTTTATTTTGAATGGCTTGAACTTAATTTTCGATGATTAATATACTTTGTTATTTTGCCTTTGTAGGACGTTGCAGCAAAATTATTGTTGTTTTCACAACAGAGACCAAGGGCGCTATGCATTTTGTCAGGAAGTGGTTCAGCATCTTCAGTAACTCTACGTCAGCCTGCATCTACTGGTGTCAGTGTCACGTTTGAGGTTGAAGCACTCAATTCTGTGTTTATTTTTGTTCGTGTTGGTGCATACAAATGACTTCCATTTTAGATGGCTTTCCTTCTATGTTGGTCTTATTAAAGTTAGTGAGAATTTTCATTTCAAATTTGGGATACAAAGCTGCAGATTTCCTTCTTTCTGTTTAAAATATTTCTTGCAAATACCATAAGTTGCAACTGTAGTTCAGTTTATGTAATGTTGTAAATTTTATGATTGCAAAGATCTGTCCAGGGTAGATGTGCAAGTTTGTAGTTGGTTATAGTTACATTTCAAATTTGGTTGTTCTTTAATAACTTGAACACTTTGTTTAGTTTCAAAAATAGCTGATGAGAAACTAGTGCAGTAATTAGCTACTTATAAAAAAATATGAGCCAGAAGAGCAATGACATACAAAGTGCTAGTATGGCCTTTGGGATACCAGTAGAATCAGAACTAATCAAAGGAATAGAATGAAAAGGAGACAAATGAAGGGCTAGGAGGCAGGGAATCTATCTACGTATGGAAGATGGTAGGGAAGAGAAAGAGTTTAAGGTTTGGGTTTTAAAGCTATGGTGTGATATTTATGATTTGGAGGGGATTCTTAGTTTGGATATAAAATTGTATGTCTGCTACTTGAGTCGAGGAATGGGATTTAAATCTGAGTCAGGGAAGGTAATACTTGTATGCTTGGGATAGATGTTGCTAGGATTGTTAAAAAATGGTCTCGGGAATTGTAGGTGTTTGAGCAGTGTAATATGCTTTGAACAGATATCTTTGGGTGGAGAAGCAGTAGTTTATGCGTATATGAGAATACCATTTTAGCGTTGGTTTCTACGAATTAGAACTAGAGCTAAGAGAATATCTTAAGCAAGATCTGGGAAAGTGGTTGAGGCAGAATGTATGGATATGTTGTCCAAAGTGTGAAGTTTCAAAATAAGGTGGTGGTGCTGATAATTGTTGAAAGTTGTAAGGTTTGAGTGCAGTTTGGTCTGGCAATAGCTGGATTGCTAATAGTGTAGGGAATATATGGGTGTTTGTCTGCGCTGGTATTCGGGTAGTTTAAGTTTTGTTTTAAGGAGAACGTGGTCAAGTGACTAAAACAAATTATTGGTTGGACAGTTCTTGATTAGCTTAAATCAATAGAGTTGCCAAAAAATGAAGTGCTACTGACATAGATTTGATTCGGTTTCTAGTTATGGTGGGATTTTAGTGCAAAAAATAGAGATAATTGAAGGAGGTTGTTTGATGATTTAACGGGTGATGCTATAGCTGCTGCAAGTCATTGTGAGTTGATCAGATAATTGGAATGTTAGAACATGACATGTTTATGGTGATTGTGAGACTTCATCTACCTTTGGGTTAGGCAGGTCTGTAGTTAAGATCTGTAGCCAATCCTTCTCAGTGATTGAACCTAATATAATAAAAAGTGGTGTGACTAATGCCATTAGGATTGCATGAATTTAAGGTTGGTTTATCTGTCAGAGGAAGGTTGAACAAACTTTGTTTGACAGTACTTAGTTCAGATACTGTGCAGGTTTAATTAGCTTCAAATGTCTACTTCAGTCCTTTTCTCCCAAGAGTTGCAACATATTTTTATTCTCTTTCTTTTATCCTTTCTGAAACAGCTCAAAACATTTATTTTTCTTTTCTGGGAGTGCGTTGTTTTATTAAATATAGTCTTTATGATAGATTGGCCAAAAGTTGCTATCATAGTAGTCAATGCTGATATCATGAATGGCCTTGCTCACAAAAATGCACTTACTTTTCCTAGTCCAATTTTTGCAGAATTAGCTTCACTCTTTTTGACTCAATTGTTTATATGGCTGTGCAGGGTCGTTTCCAGATATTATGCTTGTCAGGGTCGTACTTGGTTGCTGAGGATGGTGGACCACGCAATCGAACAGGGGGTATAAGTGTTTCCCTTTCTAGTCCTGATGGTCATGTCATTGGTGGTGCTGTGGCAATGCTTATTGCCGCAACTCCAGTGCAGGTAATTTCTTTACTGCTCAGAAACATTCCTAGTAGTGCTAATGCCATATTTCCTGCACATCTTTGCAAGAGTGTAGTTTGCACGTGTACATAGGTTGTGATATGCAATATCTGTGCATATATGCACTTTGAAGATGGCTATCTTTTGTTGGAAGATTGTGTGATTGAAACACACTTGTCTAGCATGGGATGATTTTAGAGGCGTCTTTTTATCAGATTTTGATTATAGCCTAGAAATGTGGATATACGAACTTTGAAGATGGCAGCACAGAGGTCTAATTCATTTTTGTTGCAGGTTGTGCTTTGTAGTTTTGTCTATGGTGGCTCCAAGACCAAGAACAAGCAAGTGGCTGGTCCCAATAGCGACGAGAATTCTGAGCCTCAGCATAATGAGAAATTGGCTCTACCATCTAACACCCCGCCTACTCAAAATTATAATCCTTCTGGAGCAGGCATTTGGCCAGGTTCGCGGCAAGTTGATTTGAGAAATCCGCACACCGGCATCGACTTGACTCGCGGGTGAAGATATGCTGCAACAAACACATGCCAATTTTGTATATATGTGTTGTTGTAAATGAACCGAATCTGTGAGAATTGTAACTTTACTACTCTTGTTCACCCACTGGTGGGTAAACAAGTTTGTGCTAACATAATCTGTAACAAAGCCGTAATTCTGGGGGTTATTTCGGTAACATAATTGGGGAAGTTTCAAGTAGTGTGGAGGGTTAAGATACTCATCTGTAGCAAGAAATTCTTTTGGCATTTGGTTGGAACTTTCTATCAAATCAAAGTCCTTTTGTAGTTGTAACCAATTCTGAATCACAATTTGCAGAATTATATGCTGCATATGTATGGATGAATGAGGTTTATTGAGCAACTGGTCTTTTGCTACGTAGGTATGAAACATATTTGCAAGGCACTAGTAATGTCGTTGATTTGTGGTTCCAAGCTCTACCATATTCGGAACAATTAGGAGGTTTCCCATTTTGTTGAAACTATGACCTTCCAAGGGAAGATTTGGCGACCACAGGGGCCTATGTTGATGTTAAGACGTTAAATGTTCTCTTCGATGATGAAGAAACCAATTGTAATTACTTTGTGCAATCCAAGCGAGCAAACCAACCCTCTCCAAATGGGTGGAAAAGCTGTCCGCTTGGGGATGGTGGCGTGACTGGCTCCCTTCTAAATGTGGCAATAGCTACTGGCCTACCGGTCCAAGGACACACCAACGGTACCAAAAACAAAACATCTGCACTGTCTACGACGGGCAGTTTTACTTGGAAATTTTAATGTAAAAGCTTTAACCTGTATAACTAGAAGAAAAAAGGAAAAGCAAAAGCTGAAAGATATATGGTCAAATATGTGACACAGATAAACAACTTTAACTTCTAATGTTATTATTGGGAACCTGGGACATGAATCTGCAATATGTCCTCGCAAATAACCTATTAACAGACTAGGTTTTATCAGATTTGAAACAACGAGATAAATTAGTGAGATTGTATCACAAGTAATTGTCTGTTGAAGCCTTCACATCTCAGCATTCATGAGACTCCGCCAACAGCTTCTTTATGTCATTCTGCAAAGATAGTATAATATCAGGAAGCTATTATTACTTGAGAAAACTTACTGATGATCAACTGAAATAAACAACCGAGGCAGCACAACATAACTATCTGTAAGAATCAGACATCTGGGTTTTTACCTCAAGGCTAAAGGGTAAAGTTGTTGGGTAATAACGATTAACAACTTTCCCTTCCTTGTCAACAAGAAACTTAGCAAAGTTCCACTGAATATCATCATCAAAGAATCCCCATTTGCCTAACCTCAAGAACTTGTACAATGGAGCAGCATTATCACCGTTTACTTCAATCTAACCAAAGAACAAAAATGGTGAATTTACGAACATCTCACATTATTACAATACCATCCAAGCCCTCTGGTTTAGTTCAAATGGCTACAGGGAAGAACACATCTAAAATTTCTAACTTGCAGAAGTTCTATAGGAAGTATAATTTATAACCGCTAATTTACTACAACTATTAAAGTAGTTGATTTGACAAGCTTAAACATATTATATTTGAAATTCTTGAAGCTAAAACTTGTGAACACAGAGATCCTCAACCAATCTGAATGACTCAATTAAGTTTGTTGGGATGCAAACTTCAAGTATTTAAATATTATTTCATGCATGAAAACGGAAAAATTTATATATTTTTTCCTTTTGGAAGATATAGGATAGTTAGCAATGCACTTCTGCGTTTTTTAAAACAGACAATATATGAGCATGTAGCTGAAAAATCTGCTGTCTTGCCTAGAAGTCATAGGCATGAGCTGTTGGAAGGCAGATACAACATAATATAGTACCTTGTCAAAAATTTGGAATCCTGATTTAAAACGAGTGCAGACAAACTCTTCAATTTGTTGATTACTTCCTGGTTCTTGAGCAGCAAACTGGTTGCACGGAAATGCCAGAATTTCCAAGCCTGTTTATCATACAAAGGGGAAGAATAAAGAGAAAATTAGAAGCAGAAAGTGTAATCAGAAGGGAAGAAAGTGTAATCCAAATGTAAGAAAACAAATTACATCGATGTTCAGTCAAGAATAAATTTCCTAGGGACATGGTCACCATGCTACAGTTACATTTCGAATGGTTTTCAAAATGGTAAGCATGAAAGAACAATATTAGCTCAAAATGCAAACCTTGATCTTTATACTGCTGATATAGTTTAGTTAGCTCAGGGTAATTTTCATCGGTCAATCCACTGCTCGAAATCAGTGAAAAACAACAATGAATAAATAGGTTTTTGTTTCTCTTTTTTCTTTCAAAAGAAGAGAATAATAATAAATGTGAGAAGCGAAAAATATGAGGATACCATTCAGAAGCAACATTGACAATCAGTAGAACTTTTCCTCTGTACACGCTAAGATCCACATCCTTTCCCTTTGCATCCTGCACTAACAAACGAATTTACAACCATCAGACGAACTACAAAATCCCGATATAAAGAATACTACTAGTCTACTTCTAAACTGAATTTCAAAGTTCCAACATAGATGCAACAAAAACAACATCCTTTCATTCTGAACCAAGGAACCAGCCACATATGTTCCCATTATCATCGTCTGACTATTTCCTTCTCCCTTTCTTTCAATTATGCTTTTTTTATTCTCAACCAATCACACTACCGAAAATTCTCAAACATTCCAAAGAGGGAGTAACCAAAATTTAAACTTCACTCATGGATTATTGATTCCAGAAAGGAAGAACATATTCAACAACATTATCACATATCTTCAAAACTAGCCACCTACCAATTATATTACATGTTGAATAACATTTACAGTCTTCAGACCCAGCTAGAAAATAGAGCAGAAATGCATAAACTAATTGAAGAGAGCCTTACCTTAACAGTAAATTCGTAAATTTTTGTACTTGGGAACTCATTGGCTTGGCTTGGCATCCGATAAACTGGTCCCAAGTCTGAAGTAGAAGAGCTAGCACAAGTGACAAAAGTAGCAAATGGAACAGACAAGACACAACGATGAGGAAAGTGGGTGGCAGAGAGAAGCATTAAGCAACAATGCCTTTTCTTTCACATCCTTATTTTAGGCGACTCTAGCATTTGCCACTCAAGAAGGTTACATGTGTTCTTTCTACAATTTCAAAAAAAGCTATAGACTTCTTGCTCTAAACTTAATTTCTTGTTCACTCTTGTGCATAACCCTACAGAACTCAGAAAATGCATAACTATCACATTGGGAAAAATGAAAATCCAGGTGCATGATGCAGAAATTTTCTGACCCAAAATAAAAATGTGAAAGAGAAGGGGCCTACATTGGAAGCAAAATGTAAAACCAGCACTTGGGTTGGTTTTGTACAAAAACAAATCAGGGGAAACAAGAAAAGAAGACGCTTGATCTTACCTTTGTGCATTTGGCTAAAGCAACCAGAAAACACATTTCCCATAGGAAAAATAATCAATGAAATCAAGCTCAACCGAAGGGGCTCTTGTTGGAAAGATACCAAACACAAAATGAGCAACAATCGCAAGAACTCCAATTGAGTGACGCTTTTTAGGAAATCAACTCTCTTTAGGGCAATAAATGGAGATGAAATGACGGTAGGGTAGTTCCCTTTTTTTGACGCTGGAGGTGCAACGACGTTGGTTGTTCCGCCATTTTTGTTTTTGGACGGTAGAAGTGGTTCAGTTTTGCATGCAAAAGTTTTTTGCCAGATCAAATATAATCAAATACTAAAGGTTTGGGCCAATCCAACTAACATGCCGTTGGGTTTTTTTTTTTTGGGAGTTGGGTGGTTGTGGTTCAGAGGTAAAGGAGATAATTGTAATTTTATTGCTTACTAAGGTAAAAAAATGTAAATCTTATGGTGATAAAATTGTAATTTTCAAGTAAAGGACGAAAATCATGTTGTTCAAGTTCAAGTATTTATGTTACATTTTTTTTTTGGGGTTCAAATGCGACTGAGATTAACATATCTTAACCTCCGAGAAAAACTATCACCCATAATGATTACGGGAACCTTTTTAAGAGAGAATTTCATGTCTTACATTATGTCTCTAATCACGTGACTACATTATTGTACCACATCACAATATGTGCTAGCAAATGACCAACTAACCAGACCATGTTTTCCGATATTTGAAACAGCTAAGATATTTTTATATCACAGGTCATTGAGGAACAGGCGGGGGCTGCAATTGCTTCATGTTTTAGCACCACACATAAATATAAATGTACGTACAACCTTAAAAACTCTTGAAATCCAGACATTAGTTTAACAAAGGAACACCCTTAACTAGTGTTGAAGCCACGCACTAATAATATAACAAACGTACAAAAGCAAGCTTGAACTTTTTCTCCCTCCTGATACACAAAAGGCAAGCATATGTTGCAGTCTTCACATCTCATCTCAGCATTCAAGAGACTCCCAACAGCTTCTTTATGTCATACTGCGAAAATCGTATAATGTCAAAAGGTCAGCAAACTTGACAAATCTACCGATGAATCGATGATCAACTACAATAAGCAACAGAGGCAGCATAGCATAATCAAAATTCCAAATTGCAGACATCAGGGTTTTTACCTCAATGCTAAGGGGGGGAGTGGTTGGATAATAGCGGTCGGAAACTTTCCCGTCCTTGTCAACTAGAAACTTGGTAAAGTTCCACTGAATATCATCTCCAAAGAATCCCCATTTGCCTGCCTTCAAGAACTTGTACACTGGAGCAGTATTATCACCGTTCACTTCAATCTAACACAAGAACAAAGGAAGGTAAATTTCCAAACATCTCACATTATGCAGTTGACACGGCCATAGGGAAGAACACATGTAAAATTTCTAAATCCATCAAACTCGAAACTAAAACTTGTAAACACAGAGATCTTCAATCCTCCACCAGTTTGAGTGACTAAATCAAGTTTGATGGCATGAACATAGATACAACATAATCTACTGTTCCTGAATCGACCTTGTCAAATATGGGAAATTCTGATTTGAAACGAGTGCAGACAAAATCTTCAATCTCCTCATTGCTTCCCGGTTCCTGAGAACCAAACTGGTTGCATGGAAATGCCAGAATCTCCAAGCCTGCATCGAACACCCGGTATATCATACAAAGGGGAAAAAAAAAAAGTAAAGGCACAACAGGAAAGTATAATTTCAGTGAACTTTCAAACTGCTTATATGAAATTTATGATGATGAGAAGATTTCCCTATTACAAACTCAAGAATTCTTTTTTGTCACATAAAATAAGCCTGTTTGATATGAGAAAAAAATGAGTATATACATTAACAAGAAAATGAAAATGAAAGAAGCAGCAGATAAGCATGTTCCAAAGAGAGAACAATATTAGTTGGAAATGCAAACCTTGATCTTTATACTTTTGATATAGTTCATTCAGCTCTGTGTAGTTTGAATTGGTCAGGCCACTGCCACAAATCAGTGAAAAACGAAATTGAATAAATAGGTTTTGTTTTTGTTGATTGTATAAAATAAAATAAAATAAAAAACAAAGTATGTGGAATAATACCATTTGGAGGCAACATTGATAACCAGAAGAACTTTTCCCTTGTAGACGCTAAGATCCGCATCATTTCCCTTAGCATCCTACACAAATTATAAACTATAAGACCAACTACAAAACCAAGATACAAAGAACACTTCTCAACTCAATCTCCAACATAGGTTCAACAAAAATCAAAGTTTCTTATGTTCCCAACAGGTCCTTCATCCTTTAAGTTTTTTTTTTCTTGGCAACCAACCAGAACCAGCTAGGGAAAATTCTCATAACATGTAGAAAAATAAATACCCAACATTCAAATTCAATTCCCAGCGAAAGAAGAACATATTCAAAACAATCAGATGTCTTCAAAATTTACAGAGCCACCTAGAAAACATATAGCAGAAACCTATAAACTAATTGAAGAGAGATTTTCTTACCTTAACAGTGAAGTCATAAAATGTTTTTGGGATCTCAGTTGGCTGGCTTGCCATCCTATAATCACTGGTCTGAAACTCTCAAGTAGAACAAAGCTAACTGACTGACCAAAGCAGCAAAGCAACGCAACACAACTATTGAGGAAAAGCAGAAGCAGAGACAAGACAAGACTAGGATGAATTACGCTTTTGACTTTTGAAGCTCCAATCTGGTTGGTCCGTACACAACCCACAGGTGTAAGTACAGGTTAATAACGTTTTTACCCCTATGTTTCTTCGTATTACGATTTTACCCTCAAGGATGGGCTTGCTTCCTTGGGCTTGATCTACCAACAAACAAACTCTTCATCTCATCCAAGAAAGTCTTGGCCCAAACTTCTTAATCGCTAGTTAGTAGGTGTCAAATGGATTGGGCCAGCTCGAGCACGGTCTGCTTAAGTAAGGCTCGGCACGGCACGGCCCGTATTTTTGGACGGACCGAACGAGGTAATTTCGCACAATGGGCCGTGCCGGCCCCTTTAAATTCCATTTATTAAATTATATTTATTTTAGGGAAAAATATTACATAATATTATTACATTTCTATCTTAAATTCAAGTCTATTTCTTTTTTATAATAATATATATTAAAATTTAATGTTTTCTTTATGTATAAAATAATGATTTTGTTTTTCAAGTTTTAATTTTAAAATCCAAACAATAATCTAGTTATTATCTATTTAAATATACTTTAAATAAAGTTACTAGCCTCTTTTTTTTTAATAAATAATAAATCTTGTTTGTATATACATAATTGTAAAAAATATTTAAATGAAGTTGTAAATAAAAAAAAATAAAATGCAATACATAAGTCAAATTTGGCATGGGCCCATCTCGGCTCGTTTAGTGGCCCGACACGAGCATAGCCCGAGTCGAAATTAATGATTTTCATAAATAGATGGGACCGACATGACCAGTTTATTAAATGGACCAATTCTAAATAGGCCAGCCCTGCCCGACATGACCCGTTTGACACCTCTTAAGTTTTTGTTTTTTTCCAAAGACACCTCTTAAGTTTTTTTTTGAGCTTTTGGCGCGCGCATAACAAATTGTACCAGAACAATTATGCAAACCATTGTCGCTTTCAAAAAACATAATGGTACATAGCTCGACTGTTTCTTTCTTTTTCCATAGGTGGCATTCTCACATGGAGTACTACAAAATTGTTTTCTTTTTTCTTTGAAACAATACTGATGGATGCATACCATTGCCGCCTAGGTTGAGGAAAAAAAGAGAGAGAGTAGGGGTTGTGCAAAATCCAATCCAATACAAACATTTTTAATTCGATTTTAGATTCGATTTCACGCTGGTTTCATACGTTTGTTTCAGTTTGTGCAAATACAATACAATATACACAGATACAGCCTTAGGTCCTTAAATCAGTCTTGAAGCCACAACACACAAAAGCAAGGCATTTTTTCCCATCCATCCTGATACACAAAAGGCAAGCATATGCATACTGCTTACACTATGACCCTCTTGAAGCCTTCACATCTCAGCATTCATGCGACCCCTAACAGCTTCTTTATGTCACGCTGTAAGAAAACAATATGATCACTTGACAAATCTAGTGATTATCAACCACAATAAACGGAGGCATCATAACCGAATTAATATTCTGGGTATTTACCTCAAGGCTAAGGGGGGAAGTTGTTGGGTAATAGCGATCAGAAACTTTCCCATCCCTGTCAACTAGAAACTTGGTAAAGTTCCATTGAATATCATCTCCAAAGAATCCCCATTTGCCTAACTTCAAGAACTTGTACAATGGAGCAGTATCATCGCCATTTACTTCAATCTAACACAAGAAGAAGACAGTGAAATACCATCCAAGCTCTCAGACGGAGTTGAAATGGCCACAGGGAACAACACATGTCAAATTTCTAACTTGCAAAAGTTATAAAGGATTTGAAGTAAGTGTTCATTCAGTAAAATTAGTTACTGGCTAGCCTAAATACATCCATATTTGAAATATTGCAACTAAGACTTGTAAATGTGAAGATCCTCAACCAGTCTGACTGACTAAACTAAGTTTGTTGGCATGCACAAAGATGGAAATGCACTCCTCTGTCATTAGACAAAGCCTGTAGATGAGCATGTGGTCGAAAAACCTTTTGTCTGGCCTAAAAGTGTAGTCTGTGTAAGCTGTTGGAAAGCGGATATAACAATCATCTACTGTTCCTAGATCTACCTTGTCAAATATTGGAAATTCTGACTTGAAACGAGTGCAGACAAACTCTTCAATCTCCTCATTACTTCCAGGTTCCTCATCACCAAACTGGTTGCATGGAAATGCCACTACCTCCAAGCCTGCATCAACGCGCAAAGTATATTGTACAAAGGGGAAAAAAGTGATGAAAAAAGTAGAATTTCAGTAAAGTTTTGAACTAGTTATAGTACATTTATGATGAAAACAGGATTTTCGAACTAGACATTCAGGGGCTACATGTTTTTTCTGATAAAACTAGACTGTAGCATATGCAAAACAGTCAATTAAATAAATAAGAAACAAAAATGAAACAAGTATTCTAGCTAGAGGAGGAAGTTGGAAAGGAAGAAAAAAGCGGAATTGACATGTAAGAACACAAATTTGTTAGATGTCAGCTCAAGCATGATTTTCCTAAACCTCGTTACCATATTACAATTATTTCTCTAATGATTGTCAAAATGGCAGGCATGAAAGGA